TACTCTGACCTACAGAAACTTTTTAAAACATAGGGCGAGAGTTAAAGATTGAAATAAGTTGTTTGTTTTATAGATGACTATGGAAGTTACCTGGATGACTGGTGTTTGGGTAAATTGCTCCAGGCAATGTGTTGTCGATGTTTAAACAGGAAACGAGAAGCCATGGAGTATCTGAAGGGTGCTCTCAGTCGGTTAGACTTCTTTTTGTTTTTGTGATTTCTTTTCTCTGCATTTTTTTGTGTGTGCATAAAAAGCATTTTACCATTCTGTTTCTTGTTGTAGATCCAAAGATTTGAGCAACGATTCTTACCTGGCTCCCTACACATGTGCAGAGATTGGATTTCTTTATCTTGAAGAGGGAGATCTGGAACTAGCCAGAGAACACTTGGAGCGCGCAAGGTTAGGTTTCAGTATTACTGGGTTACTATTGGGTTGTTTAGCGGCCCCACAGGACTGTTTTGGATGACGTAATCGCTTCTTCTGTCCTGTGCCGCTAAACAACCCAATAGTAACCCAGGACTGTTTTGGATGACTTTATTGCTTCTTCTGTTGGCCATTTCTTGGCCTCACAGGAAATTGGGTCAAAGTTCCTTACCGGAACTATAGTTGAGAATCCCGATTTCTTGATACATCACTGAAATGCATTGACCCTGAAGACCTGGGAAGACGCCGTGCGGGGACTACTGTTCCTTGCGCACGAACGTCTGGGAAGGAATGCGCGCGGAAGCCCTGAGAACAAGCGTGGGAGGCAGTCTAATAGGGAACCTGATAACTGATAACTCAGTGCCTTTAACTGAATCCTTGTATGTTCTGTCTAGGAAACATCAGGATCACTTGTTACAAAGCCTTCTTCATCTACGAATCCACGCCGCTTTACAGAAAATAGAAAATTACTCCATTCAAAATGAACTGTTTGGGGTAGGTGGAGAATTTGCACGGCCTAACCAAGCACTCGTGATAAAGGAAGACCTGGAAGAATCAGGAAATGAATCTGAGTTTTTCGATGCTGAAGAAGACTGGGACGATTGTAGGCCTCGACAAGACTCCAACTCATCATTTGATATCATATCAGATGATGAACTTGATACTATTATATCGTAAGAAAAATCTATTTCAATGGGCGATGTGCAGCATATTTGTGGTATCAGCTGTGCCCTGAAAATAATAAGGACAGCGACAGGTGTTGTTTGCATATAACCGCAACGTTACTTTTGAAAGAAAGAGGACAGGTTTGGCACTTTTTTGGAGTTGCGAGAGTGTGCTCCTAAACTTTTTCAACCAGACACGTTAAAGGATTATAAAAAAGATGTTTCCTTTCTTGTAAAATAAGCGCTTACATTGGTGTCATTCGTTGTTTTTACTTATGATAGCTCCCATCAATTCAAGCGGAAGTTATTTCTTATCTCTTTTAATCAGGTACATAGAATCTGTACATACATATTTAAAATGTGATGTATTTATTCCTATTATATAACAACTGCCTTTCCATAAACCTGAACGTGAATTGTATATACTAAATTATTTTCAATGAAGGTCCATATTTTTACATGAATACTTCTCAAAGTTGTTGCATGTATATTTTATCTATTTCACGCCAGTATATACACATATTTTGTCTGATATAGGTACATTGTAGTCCTGTCTTTTGTAGTAACAACATCTGAGATAAATAAAATAAATAGTTTAGGTTGTCTGATGATTGACATTGTTCTCTGTTTGGTATAGTTTATTATTATTGAAAAGAAGTTTACAAAAAATTTACAGCAGTGAATTGCATTAATTGCATACACAACATGGGAACACAACACAAAAGAACTTTTTGGGCAGTATTGAATGTTATTTAATCTCAATTGATTATGGATAGACCACATAGTGGTCAGACTCAATAAATATTCCACAACAATTCTCCAATGATTTGCACCATTTCACTTAGTTAATGCTTCCTTGATTGTTGCTACTAGTTTTACAGCTCATGAAATCTAAAAATTCAACTCTTATTGGGTCCTAATTGGCATGCTTAACTTATAATTATTTTACAAAGTTGTATCTATATTGTTCTTTAAATAAAAGAAAATTTACATAATCCATCTAACAGGCAAAAACCATAATTGGATTTTTTTCCTCCCTTGGATTTATTACACATAAGCGACTACAAACAATATAATTATTATATTAACTTTACTACAATTATCCCGAAACATTCTCAAATAAAAGTGAATGAAAAAACCGCCTTTAAAAAATGCCAATTACATTGTCACTATGTTAAATCCCATGTCAGCTACATCTACCTGTATATCTTGTATAATAATTGATCCCTTTCTGGTTATTTGTAAAGCATTCCATTTCAATTATGAGCTGGGAAAGTACCAATACTGAAAAATTCTAACAAGCCACAATAAAACTCAAAAAATATACTTGTCTAATACATTTTAAGAAAGACCTTATCCCATATATTAAATTGCCAAATACACATTCAGTGTACCTTGTACGTGCAGATTTCAAAGAAATATTTTCTACTAATTTTTCTTTGTACATTTTGAGTCTACAAATGAAATTTTATTGTGTAATATTCAAATTAATTCGAATTTAAGAAAAACTCCTAAGCAAAGTGGTCATTCATTTTTATTGCATTACAGACTAAACTGAAATTGGAATGTTCCTGGCTTATTTACTTCTAGCTATTCTGATAACCTTCTCAGTATTAAAAGGGTTAACTAATAACATTTTAGAGAATTGAGAACCAAAATGCTAGCACATCCTTGCTGATTGCCATAATAGTAACCCTGGAGAATGAGTTTGATGTTACTGAGACAATTTACAGTGGTCCTCTACACAGGTTTCACTACCGTGGAATGTGCTCCATGTTTTTCTGGCATACTGTACAGAAAGGTAGCCGCTAGAACACCACATGTACCAATAAAAAAGAAACTAAGAGAGAAAGAAAACAAACATTTATTAATAACAGGTGTGTTTTTGTTTTTTAAAGATAAAGTTTACTATCTCTAAAATTTGAAGAGTTGATACAAAAAATATATCTTACTCTAGTTGTATATGAGGTCTTATATGAAGGAGTTACCATATTTCCTCGAATAATAGCCAGGGGCGATAATTTTTTCTTCACACAAAAAGGGTGGCAATTATTTGAGGGAGGAGATTATTTCAAGTGGTTCTCACTGGAAGTCGTGCCCATAGAAGTATTTTGTTTTATCGTCACATGAAATCAAAAAACAATCACATCAAATAAACTGAACATGGGCTTTTTAATTGTTCCAAATTTGGTTCCTTGATTAATTTTCAGAGCTGATTCGTCACTGATCAGTTTTGCAGTGTCACATTCCATTTCAATAATGACAGGGAGGGGGGGGGGGGGTAAAAGAAAGAGAAGATGATATGATGGGTGGGGGAGGGGGGGATTATTGAAGGGAGGGGATAGGTTAGGGTTAGGGGTTAGAGTACCCCACAACCAACAAAATATACTCAAACATTTAACAAATGAGACCTAAAGAACATGGTAAAAGAGAAAGCAACAGTGAGTAAGAGGATGGGTCAAAGCAAAGAAAAGCTATGTTTATCAGTTACAAAATAATGTAGTATGTTCACTCACTTTGTTGGCTGAAAGTCCCCAAGGAAATAAAATGAGACAAGAGACGACACCACTATAGAGACTGAGGTGGCAAACCCCTTTAAGATATTGTCAGCGTACTTTACAACTGCTGCCACGACTAAACCACCAAAGGCCTACAGGTCAAAATAAGGAACGAGTGAGACATCAACCTTTAGAGCTTCACAGCCAATTAATGTTTTGGTTTCATATGCATCAAAGCTTTTTCTTTCAGAAAAGAATATTACATTGACATTACAATTTACAGTTGTGTGGATATATTGTTGTGGTTCAAACCAATTTAATTTGTTTTTTTCTGTGGTTAACCTGTCAACATTTTTTGAAACAAAGTAAACCAGGAATATTGTAAATTCTCAAGCCAAAGAGGAATAAACACAAACAGAAACAAATTTATACACATCTTTCTGTATTATAAACACCTGAAGTGAAATAACCATCCAGGTCATACTGTTATAGCCTTGAAAGAAACCTCCATTGCTAATTTGATTTCCATCATTTATAAAAACAGCTATCAAGCCAAAACCCCCCCCCCCCCCCCCTCCCCCATCCTATTCCACTTCTGTGTTTCCGTATCCATTAAAACAGCATATTACGGGAGTGGGGCAGTGGTAAAATAGCAATAGCCTGCATCGCAGACGTAATCTAACCCCGGTTAGTAACGTCTGCAAAGCAGCTTTGAGATCCTTGTCCCAGGCCCTCTACGGATTAGCAAATTACCGGAAGTACGTTTCGCTTTTCAGTCCTCCCATCCTGATTGGCAAATCCACAATGGCTTTTTTTAACAGGCCAATCATGACACGCACTGAAATGCGGGTACACAGGTAGGGGCCCAGAACAAGGAACAAGGATTTCGGTGCTGTTTCGCAGACTGACCTCAAGTTAAGTTTTGTCTGTGTCTACAGGCTACTACGCAACGGCTGAAAAACAATTGTTAATAACAGACATTTCGGTTAAATGGTTGGCGTTAGTTGTATGGTAGGAATATACTCAATTATTCTTTCTGGGGAGGAATACATTAGCGTCAATAGTGTCACAGGAGTTTGTCTAATTCTCATAAATAATTCTATGCTAAAGGAAAATACAAGCATGATGGTAAGTTCTGATTTAAGCCAACCAACAACTTTTAAGTTTCATTGTGGCCAGAGTCAGGTCTGTCAATTATATGGTCCTTAATTTTAATAACACCTCTTCTAGCATTGTCTGTCTGGCTAGTTGTGGGTCCGTTCAACTCTGTAGAATGAATGCAAAATGAATGAAGAGCAGCAAAAACTAACTCCAGGTGACCATGTGAAGGTGTCCGTTATGAGAGAGTTGACTATAAATTATTTCTGAGAATTTAAAACTAACTAAACAAGTATCTTTCCCTATATTTCATCAGGAGCTTATTTATTTATGGAATGGGTTTAAAGTGCTCAGCCACAGACCTGATCTTGTTGAACCTTTGATGAATCTGGTGGAGAATTCGCTACATAAACTGCACAAAGAAAAAGGTGAGGACTATTTCAATGTCGTGTCAGTTCATCGCAAGGAACACCAATTCTGACTTTTTACCTCCTTGCTTCATGATAAATCGAATATTAGAAAATGTTAGGCAATATTAGACATTTATCACGATCATATGACGGTACTCTGACCTACAGAAACTTTTTAAAAACATAGGGCGAGAGTTAAAGATTGAAATAAGTTGTTTGTTTTATAGATGACTATGGAAGTTACCTGGATGACTGGTGTTTGGGTAAATTGCTCCAGGCAATGTGTTGTCGATGTTTAAACAGGAAACGAGAAGCCATGGAGTATCTGAAGGGTGCTCTCAGTCGGTTAGACTTCTTTTTGTTTTTGTGATTTCTTTTCTCTGCATTTTTTTGTGTGTGCATAAAAAGCATTTTACCATTCTGTTTCTTGTTGTAGATCCAAAGATTTGAGCAACGATTCTTACCTGGCTCCCTACACATGTGCAGAGATTGGATTTCTTTATCTTGAAGAGGGAGATCTGGAACTAGCCAGAGAACACTTGGAGCGCGCAAGGTTAGGTTTCAGTATTACTGGGTTACTATTGGGTTGTTTAGCGGCCCCACAGGACTGTTTTGGATGACGTAATCGCTTCTTCTGTCCTGTGCCGCTAAACAACCCAATAGTAACCCAGGACTGTTTTGGATGACTTTATTGCTTCTTCTGTTGGCCATTTCTTGGCCTCACAGGAAATTGGGTCAAAGTTCCTTACCGGAACTATAGTTGAGAATCCCGATTTCTTGATACATCACTGAAATGCATTGACCCTGAAGACCTGGGAAGACGCCGTGCGGGGACTACTGTTCCTTGCGCACGAACGTCTGGGAAGGAATGCGCGCGGAAGCCCTGAGAACAAGCGTGGGAGGCAGTCTAATAGGGAACCTGATAACTGATAACTCAGTGCCTTTAACTGAATCCTTGTATGTTCTGTCTAGGAAACATCAGGATCACTTGTTACAAAGCCTTCTTCATCTACGAATCCACGCCGCTTTACAGAAAATAGAAAATTACTCCATTCAAAATGAACTGTTTGGGGTAGGTGGAGAATTTGCACGGCCTAACCAAGCACTCGTGATAAAGGAAGACCTGGAAGAATCAGGAAATGAATCTGAGTTTTTCGATGCTGAAGAAGACTGGGACGATTGTAGGCCTCGACAAGACTCCAACTCATCATTTGATATCATATCAGATGATGAACTTGATACTATTATATCGTAAGAAAAATCTATTTCAATGGGCGATGTGCAGCATATTTGTGGTATCAGCTGTGCCCTGAAAATAATAAGGACAGCGACAGGTGTTGTTTGCATATAACCGCAACGTTACTTTTGAAAGAAAGAGGACAGGTTTGGCACTTTTTTGGAGTTGCGAGAGTGTGCTCCTAAACTTTTTCAACCAGACACGTTAAAGGATTATAAAAAAGATGTTTCCTTTCTTGTAAAATAAGCGCTTACATTGGTGTCATTCGTTGTTTTTACTTATGATAGCTCCCATCAATTCAAGCGGAAGTTATTTCTTATCTCTTTTAATCAGGTACATAGAATCTGTACATACATATTTAAAATGTGATGTATTTATTCCTATTATATAACAACTGCCTTTCCATAAACCTGAACGTGAATTGTATATACTAAATTATTTTCAATGAAGGTCCATATTTTTACATGAATACTTCTCAAAGTTGTTGCATGTATATTTTATCTATTTCACGCCAGTATATACACATATTTTGTCTGATATAGGTACATTGTAGTCCTGTCTTTTGTAGTAACAACATCTGAGATAAATAAAATAAATAGTTTAGGTTGTCTGATGATTGACATTGTTCTCTGTTTGGTATAGTTTATTATTATTGAAAAGAAGTTTACAAAAAATTTACAGCAGTGAATTGCATTAATTGCATACACAACATGGGAACACAACACAAAAGAACTTTTTGGGCAGTATTGAATGTTATTTAATCTCAATTGATTATGGATAGACCACATAGTGGTCAGACTCAATAAATATTCCACAACAATTCTCCAATGATTTGCACCATTTCACTTAGTTAATGCTTCCTTGATTGTTGCTACTAGTTTTACAGCTCATGAAATCTAAAAATTCAACTCTTATTGGGTCCTAATTGGCATGCTTAACTTATAATTATTTTACAAAGTTGTATCTATATTGTTCTTTAAATAAAAGAAAATTTACATAATCCATCTAACAGGCAAAAACCATAATTGGATTTTTTTCCTCCCTTGGATTTATTACACATAAGCGACTACAAACAATATAATTATTATATTAACTTTACTACAATTATCCCGAAACATTCTCAAATAAAAGTGAATGAAAAAACCGCCTTTAAAAAATGCCAATTACATTGTCACTATGTTAAATCCCATGTCAGCTACATCTACCTGTATATCTTGTATAATAATTGATCCCTTTCTGGTTATTTGTAAAGCATTCCATTTCAATTATGAGCTGGGAAAGTACCAATACTGAAAAATTCTAACAAGCCACAATAAAACTCAAAAAATATACTTGTCTAATACATTTTAAGAAAGACCTTATCCCATATATTAAATTGCCAAATACACATTCAGTGTACCTTGTACGTGCAGATTTCAAAGAAATATTTTCTACTAATTTTTCTTTGTACATTTTGAGTCTACAAATGAAATTTTATTGTGTAATATAGCGTGGAAGCCCGGAGAACAAGTGTGGGAGGCAAAGTGGAACCAGTGTAATAGGGAACCTGATAACTCAGTGCCTTTTATAACTGAATCATTGTATGTTCTTACTAGGAAACATCAAGATCACTTGTTACAAAGCCTTCTTCATCTACGAATCCACGCTGCTTTACAGAAAATAGAAAATTACTCCGTTCAAAATGAACTGTTTGGGGTAGGTGGAGAATTCACATGGCCTAACCAAGCACTCGTGATAAAGGAAGACATGGAAGAATCAGGAAATGAATCTGAGTTTTTCGATGCTGAAGAAGACTGGGACGATAGAAGGCCTCGACAAGACTCCAACTCATCATTTGATATCATATCAGATGATGAACTTGATACCATTATATCGTAAGAAAAATCTATTTCAATGGGCGATGTGCAGCATATTTGTGGTATCAGCAGTGCCCTGAAAATAACAAGGACAGCGACAGGCGTTGTTTGCATATAACTGCAACGTTACTTTTGAAAGAAAGAGGACAGGTTTGGCACTTTTTTGGAGTTACGAGAGTGTGCTCCTAAACTTTTTCAACCAGACACGTTAAAAAATTATAAAAAAGACGTTTCCTTTCTTGTAAAATAAGCACTAAAATTGGTGTCGTTCGTCGGATTTACTTATGATGGCTCCATCAATTCAAGCGGAAGTTATTTCTTGTCACTTTTAATCAGGTATATAGAAACTGTGATTAGGATCTGTACATACATATTTAAAATGTGATGTATTTATTCCTATTATATAACAACTGCCTTTCCATAAACCTGAACGTGAATTGTATATAATAAATTATTTTCACTGAATGGTCCATATTTTTACGTGAATACTTCTCAAAGTTGTTGCATGTATATTTTTTCTATTTCACGCCAGTATATACACATATTTTGTCTGATATAGGTACGTTGTAGTCCCGTCTTTTTTAGTAACAACATCTGAGATAAATAAAATAAATAGTTTAGGTTGTCTGATGATTGACATTGTTCTCTGCTTGCTATAGTTTATTATTATTAAAAAGAAGTTTACAAAAAATTTACAACAGTGAATTCCGTTAATTGCATACACAACATGGGAACACAACACAAAAGAACTTTTTGGGCAGTATTGAATGTTATTTAATCTCAATTGATTATGGATAGACCACATAGTGGTCAGACTAAATAAATATCCCACAACAAAAATCTCCAATGATTTGCACCATTTCACTTAGTTAATGCTTGCTTGATTGTTGCTACTAGTTTTACAGCTCATGAAATCTAAAAATTCAACTCTTATTGGGTCCTAATTGGCATGCTTAAACGTCTAATTATTTTACAAAGTTGTATCTATATTGTTCTTTTAATAAAAGAAAATTTACATAATTCATCTAACAGGCAAAAACCGTAATTGGATTTTTTTCCTCCCTTGGATTTATTACACATAAGCAACTACAAACAATAATATTATTATATTAACTTTACTACAATTATCCCGAAACATTCTCAGATAAAAGTGAATGAAAAATCGCCTTTAAAAAATGCCAATTACAGTGTCGCTATGGTAAATCCCATGTCAGCTACATCTACCTGTATATCTTGTATAATAATGGATCCCTTACTGGTTTTTTGTACAGCATTCCATTTCAATTATGAGCTGGGAAAATACCAATACTGAAAAATTCTATGAAGCCACAATAAAACTCATAAAATATACTTGTCTAATACATTTTTAAGAAAGACCTTATCCCATATATTAAATTGCCATATACACATTCAGTGTACCTTGTACGTGCAGATTTCAAAGAAATATTTTCTACTAATTTTTCTTTGTACATTTTGAGTCTACAAATGAAATTTTATTGTGTAATATCCAAATTAATCTGAATTTAAGTAAGCAAATTAAAGTGGCCATTCATTTTTATTGCATTACAGACTAAACTGAAATTAGAATGTTCCTGGCTTATTTACTTCTAGCTATTCTGACAACCTTCTCAGTATTAAAAGGGTTAGCTAATAACGTTTTAGAGAATTGAGAACCAAAATGCTAGCACATCCTTGCTGATGGCCATAAAAGTAACCCTAGAGAATGAGTTTGATGTTACTGAGACAATTTACAGTAGCCTTCTACACAGGTTTCACTACCGTGGAATGTGCTCCATGTTTTTCTGGCATACTGTACAGAAAGGTAGCCGCTAGAACACCACATGTACCAATAAAAAAGAAACTAAGAGAGAAAGAAAACAAACATTTGTTATAACGGGTGTGTTTGTGTTCTTTAAAGATAAAGTTTACTATCTCTAAAATTTTAAGAGTTGATACAAAAAATATATCTTACTCTAGTTTTATATGAGGTCTTATATGAAGGAGTTACCATATTTCCTCGAATAATAGCCAGGGGTGATTATTTTTTCTTCGCACAAAATGGGGGCGATTATTTGAGGGAGGCGATTATTTCAAGTGGTTCTCACTGGAATTCGTGCCCTTAGAAGTATTTTGTTTTATCATCACATGAAATAAAAAAACAATCACATCAAATAAACTGAACCTGGGCTTTTTCATTGTTCCAAATTTGGTTCCTTGATTAATTTTCAGAGCTTGATTCGTCACTGATCAGTTTTGCCATGTCACATTCCACTTCAATAATGACCGGGAGGGAGGGGATAAAAGAAAGAGAAGATGATATGATGGGTGGGGGAGGGGGTGATTATTCGAGGGAGGTGATTTTTTAAAAAATTTCCAAGAAAGGAGGGCAATTATTTGAGGGAGGCGATTAATCGAGGGACAGCTATTATTCAAGGAAATATGGTACATCACAGTTTCTGTGTATTTAGGCTGAATTCTCAAGTTAAGTGCTTGTAATCCATGGTAATCTTACCCATTCGTACCTACCCTTAATTATTTTGTACCTTAGTATTACTTCTAAATAATTATATTTCATATTTTTTTATCTTAATAGACTAATATTTCTGGCTTTTCTATAGATCTGTTTTAAGATGATTTTGTGCAGTCTTATAACTTCATGTACTTTTCAAATTATGGCAACATAGCTCCTTTCACTTCACTTCCAGACAATTCAGGGTTTCAAAGTTAGGTAACTTTATATAAATATTATTTTGGATTTTCCATCACAAATACATTAGAGTACCCCACAACCAGCAAAATATCCCTAAACATTTAACAATTGAGACCTAAAGAACATGGTGAAAAAGAAAGCAACAGCGAGTAAGAGGATGGGTCAAAGCAAATAAAAGCTATATTTAGCAGTTACAAAATAATGTAGTATGTTATAATTGTAAACTCACTTTGTCGGCTGAAAGTCCCCAAGGAAATAAAATGAGACAAGAGACGACACCACTATAGAGACTGAGGTGGCAAAGCCCTTTAAGATATTGTCAGCATACTTTACAACTGCTGCCACGACTAAACCACCAAAGGCCTACAGGTCAAAATAAGGAACAAGTGAGACATCAACCTTTAGAACTTCACAGCCAATTAATGTTTTGGTTTCATATGCATCAAAGCTTTTTCTTTCAGAAAAAAATATTGCATTGACATTACAATTTACAGTTGTGTGGATATATTTTTGTGGTTCAAACCAATTTAATTTGTATTTTCTCGTGGTTAACCTGTCAACATTTTTTGAAACAAAGTAAACCTGGAATATTGTACATTTTCAAGCCAAAGAGAAATAAACACAAACACAAACAAATTATACACATCTTTCTGTATTATAAACACCTGAAGTGAAATAACCATCCAGGTCATACTGTTATAGCCTTGAAAGAAACCTCCATTGCTAATTTGATTTCCATCATTTATAAAAACAGCTATCAAGCCAAATACTACACCAAAAGCTCCTGTAAACAAAAAAGCATCATATTTCAGTTATGATTAGGCTTTAAATTTTATCGTGTGATACTGTTCATTGGGAAAATTATGCCAAAGATTTTTCAGTTTGGGACGTACTGTTNTTATACACATCTTTCTGTATTATAAACACCTGAAGTGAAATAACCATCCAGGTCATACTGTTATAGCCTTGAAAGAAACCTCCATTGCTAATTTGATTTCCATCATTTATAAAAACAGCTATCAAGCCAAATACTACACCAAAAGCTCCTGTAAACAAAAAAGCATCATATTTCAGTTATGATTAGGCTTTAAATTTTATCGTGTGATACTGTTCATTGGGAAAATTATGCCAAAGATTTTTCAGTTTGGGACGTACTGTTCATGCTATGGCCAAACTTTTTTTCTATTCAATAAATTATAAATCAAGATTCTTTCTAGAAATTGTAAAAGAAAATTAAAATTGTTTTTCCCAAATTTCCAACAGCTCATCAGTCTGTCTTGTTCACACCATCACTTTGGCCACTGGGGACAAGGCCAATAACAATAGTAACCCTCATGACCTTGGTAACTAGAGCCAAGGTGAGGAAACAAGGCTGTATATTGTCATGTAGAGTAGATTGAAGGAGGTATAAAGTGTCCCAACAGCCTCACCACAAAAATTTGCTCGAAAAAATTGTTTTCTTGACTTTACACAGCAGATGAATTTATTTGGCAACCCTTTTTCCTTTCGTATTCATTTACAATATATTATTACTGTCAAACTCAGAAGACCGTGAACACCTGAAAAATTTCAGGAATGTTGATTGTGTACTGGCCAATCACAATAAAGTTCAGGATAAGCAAGCAAACCTCAAAACCACAATTTAAGTACCATTGCTGTTCGCAGTTTAGTTATCACGCACCTTTATACTGGCTTATTTCTCGGAATACAATAACATTCCATAAATATTTCTGGTGTTCATGGTTTTGTGAGTTTCACAGTAATAAACGTTTATAGTTTAGTATTCAAAATGATAACCACCCACTATCGATAACATGTTCTAGATATATTGTCGCATCAACATTTTAGGGAATGAACCACTAACAACAGATTTTAAACGATACTTTACCTAACTGGACATTTCTCATCCAAATAGATGATTTAGTTCCTTTTAAAATTTTTTCAAAGTAAACACCAGCAAAACCACTGGAACAGCAAGCTGTTAAGACTGCCAGTAAACCAACAAACTGTCCTGACAGGGACAGCTCTTTACCAGTATTCTCTTTTCCTTTATCTGTTCTCCACTAATAAAGATTGTTATTAAAAGCAAAAATTAAAAAATATATTAACAAGGTTGATTTACAAAATGTCTTTACATGAAGGAATTAAGGAAAAGAAAAGAAAAATAGGCGAAAGCACAAACACTAGAGTAAAAACAGTAGTATAGTGCTGATGATGAAACTAAAGGATTACACTTACAATGTGGGAGAAAACTTTGAATTGGATTAAAAAAAAATTTGAAAACTGTGAATCAAAATGACAAAAATCACAGAAATCTTGCATCAGCTAGCACTCACCTCTCACTGACTTCACAGGAACAAACTTATGATATCTAAAAACTCTCTCAAGCAAGTGACTGTTAATATTCAAAACACTGCGATTATCCTATCTTTGATTCTAATCCAGAGGTAAAATTATGACTCAAACGCTTGGCTGCGGTGTTTGATGTATACCACTACATGTAACTCCTCACCTGAACTAATGTAACTCCACCCATAAGAAGAAGGAGAGAAATCCACTTCAAAATGCTTAATTTCTTATGAAGCATACAAACAGAGAACAATGCCGTGGTTAAAATCTTCAGCTGATATNTGGCTGCGGTGTTTGATGTATACCACTACATGTAACTCCTCACCTGAACTAATGTAACTCCACCCATAAGAAGAAGGAGAGAAATCCACTTCAAAATGCTTAATTTCTTATGAAGCATACAAACAGAGAACAATGCCGTGGTTAAAATCTTCAGCTGATATGTGACCTGAAATTGCAACAATAAGTTACAGTAAGAAAACTGATATATACTTTTCTTGTCAATTTGGTAACCCTCAAACAATAGCCCCACTTTTGTAGTGATTATTGATATTCCAATTAATTTTTAATTGTTTCAATCTCCTTAAACTCAATAGGATGACGTCTTTTTTTTCCTTTTTATCCATTTTCATCTTTTTTTTTCATATTTAAATTTAGTAATCCGAGCAAGGTTTAAATAACAAAAGCCCTAATTTACACAAGAAAGCAATACCCTGAAGGATTCTGGTAGTAGTAGTAACGTGATGCCATCATGCAAATGGCCCATTCAGTAAGTCAATCAACTGGCCTTCCAGTCTCCCCTCATTGTTTTTTCAGCCTATTTCTTGCCTGCACCCCACTATCTGAATGTTTGAAATAGGGTCAAGTCAAATCAATTTTTATTTAAACTCACAAAGAATATAATACAATTCAGTGCTTTTAAATATAAAAATAAAACATTGTGAAGAAGGAAAAGAATTTTTTTAATTTTAGGTTCATTGTGCAGAGATTGGGACACCTAAATAGTTCGTAGAACTAACCGAGTAGGTGACCCAAAACAAGAATACAAGTAGAAGGAATAATAGTGACAAAATAGCTGTTTTAGATAAAAAGTATTATGTCAGTAATTAACTAGTAGTTAAAGATAATATAATCATAAATCTTCAGGAATTAATAACACTATTGTAACCATCAATCATAAAATTCTTGATATTTTGATGAAAACTACAAAACGGCTTGATTTTCTTAACATCAATAGATAAAGAATTCCAAAGGTTTGGTACCAGTGTAACAGAGAGAAGGAATGGGTGATGATATTGATAATAATAATTTTATATACATAAGAGAGAGAAATCGTTAGCAGCTGGATTCCGCATGAAACTGAAATTTCGGATTTTGAAATGAAAAAACAAATATAAAATCAACAGCACAGGAAAGTCTTGATTACAGGGAACTTTACTCGAGTGACAATTGCAGGGGGCGATTGACTCTTTTTAAATATGCTTTGATTTGTGTTCCCATTTTATTAGACCAGAACAACATGCTTCGGACGTACTACAACACTTAATAGATAAACGAATTTATTAATTAAATATTTTTTGTTTCAAACCTGGTACGTGGCAGCATCCAAATTAGAAAGAGCGAGGAACAGGAGATTGTTTTGAATTGTGTACAGCCCAGAGGGCACAGCCAGCTTTAAGTTCTCCCATGGTTTACCTAAAATCTCTTCCCTTACTTGTCCCACGAAATACGACCATCGATAGTGTGATCCATGAAAAATAATAGCTAAACATGCCAGGATCTTAAAGATTTCCGAGAATACCACTGCTGTAGAAGCAATATACATTTCTCCATGTGTTCTTGAGTAACGCATCGTGAGGACCATAGATGATGTTTGAACAACCAGTATTCCTAGACATACGTGCTTAAGTGATAGAGATATGTTCTTTGGAAATACTGCAACGCGAAAAAAGTACAATTCGTTTGAAACCATTTAAATCTTGTTAATTTTTAGACCGTTCCCCTCAACACATTTGTGCACCCACATTCAGCACAATAACTCAAATTATAGACGTAAAAAACTCCATATAGAACTAATATAACCACAAATGGTGCTTAAATAGTTGTATGGAATGTTTTCATCTGTTCATTGAAAATAACTATCGATAAAATTTGGCAATACTGAAGTGATTACCTCGAAATATCCAAGGGTATGGTTTGGATGACTTGTCCGCCATCTTTGATTCTTGTTGCAATTCCGCTGACCAGTTTTTCTGTTCGCACACTCAAAGTTTTCGGAAAGTTTCCTTGACAACAAAAGTTGCTGTAAAAAACGTATTTACAAAATGTAAATAGACTCAACAGCTATTGCTGAAAAAAAGACTGGATATAGGAAGCAGGTGGCAATTTTATCATACAAAAAGAGAGAATTTCCATGGGAACCAGGAGAGTCTCCTTAAAATTAGCCTTACAATAAATTTATAAAAACAGCAACAGTGCCTGTTCCGACTTATGTTGATTATTCATCTTACAGTTTTAGGTTTCTTTTCTATATTTTAATCAGGAGCTCAACATAGAGAGAGAAAAAAAAAAAACGAAAAAGACTGGAGACTGAGAGTCTTCCTCAGTCCTCACTCGGTCCCGTTTGGCCGTTGGCACTGTTCGCAGTCCCAGTTCCTTCGTTCAACTTATAGTTGATTTACTTTGGGGTGTTTGTGTTTGGTGCGGAATGCATCCTTCTATCCCGATTTTTCTGGTTTTTGCTGCCTGTTGTTCTAATGTAGTACTTTTGGAGTTACTTGTGAGGTAAGGTGTTAAAGAAACACAAGACAGGATTTTCAGGCTTCTTTTTTGAATCTTCTTAAATGTCTTAAATCCTTAACACTGATCGCGTAAATGATGTCAAGCTTGCTTGACTTGAGCTTAATTTGTAAATGCCATTTAATACATGCTCTAACCGTTAGTAGAAGGAAACAGTAAAGAACTTTCAGCTTCGAAGAAAAAGGCTGTCCATGTAAAATGTCCTTAAATATAGATTGCCTCACTTCTTGAGGGCAAAATTGCTGGTGTGCACGTGACGTCACGGCGGCCATGTTGATGGTCAAGAACAAAAGCATTTCTCTCCTCCGGGAACTAAACTCCATTTTCATTGACATTTTTCGAGAAAAAAATTTCTACTAATTTGACCCCCAACATGCATATGGCCACCTTGTCATGTGGTTGCAAACCAAGAATAGTGATTATGCAATGCTAGCGAAGGCCAGGGGTGGGTTATGTGGTAAAGGATAAGACTGTGAACAAGAGGAAAGGGTCATAGTACTAGGATTCCTTTGGAGTTATGCGGAAATGCCAACCTCTGGAGAGCTCACATCTAGAGACTGTCTCAAGCCCTCCCCTCTCCTCTCCCCCCCAAATAAAAACAAATCATCCTAAACCCAGAAGAGGGGGCGGGGGGGGGGGGGGTTGGGGTTTTTGGGGAACCTCCTTTTAATCAAAGAAAAATTGTGTTTGAAAGGGGATTACAAAAATGGAACCCCCAATTTTAAAGAAAAAGGCAAAACCAAAACACACAAAACTTTCACAAATTCCCCCATGCAAGAGGCAAAATAATGAAT